GGCATAACCACCACAATTTGGTACTCGGTGTTAAATAGAGGAAGGAGGCTGTCTAGTGGGAGAATGGCAAAACAGCGAAGTAAACCTATCGGAAACCTGCAAAAAGCCTTTGCTCTACACTCTGAGAAAGAGAAACCCTGATCCAAATGCGTCCGTATTTCACAATTTTTTCCTTTTTTCAGGAATACAAGGTACCGCTCGATACTTATAATCCAGAGTCCAATGCCTACGTTATCCTGCAGTAGTGATTCAAACAAATCGTATGTTTAAGTTACAGAATAAATATTTGAGTTCATTAGGCTTCTATTACAAATCTCTGTGAATCCAGCAATCGTTACAGGCAATTTCTCGATGAAATAGCTCTCCTCAAACGGGGTAAGATCACACGTGACACCCCGAAAAACACATACAAAAGAGGACTCTCTGGTGGAGATCCAAAAGGACCACCAATAGATAACGACGAGTGAGTAAACAGCTTAAGCTGTGGGCCATACAGCGGGCTAGACGTTGGTCATGATGCCCTTACCCTTGTTCATCGCGGGTTGCGCAATCGAAGAGGGCTAAATTAATGCTGCACATTTCAGCCCCATCACATTAGCTGAATTGAACACACGTGGCTTGAGAATTGATGACGAACACATCATTTATACCTTCCCAGAGTAAGTCTGAGATAAAGCTTTTTTCCCCGTTTCAGAGCTTTTTAGGCGCATTGTGGTTCAGGAGAAGCCACTTTCCAGGGGTTTATGACATAAAAGTGGCTGGGCTCAGCTGCTCGAATCTGAATATTAACGGGACGGCATGACTACTAGAGATGCTGCAGTGTTTTGAAGCGCATATCATCAGTCATGACAGCAACGGACGGCGTAGGAAATGATCAAAAACACGTGAAACATGTGCGGAGATAAGAAAAAAAATTCGAAAAATGCAGCGGTTCCCCATCGGGTCTTGCTGCTCCAATCGAGAAACTGCGGCACAGCTTGAATTTTCCGCCCCATCACTGGGTGACGATGCACATAGGCCTCATAATACCTCAAAGAAGGGAGGGCGTGGTTGCGTACTCCGTTTGAACGTGACGTGGGATGCTCTTCCAGGACATTCGCATTTGAGGCAGCTTTCAACACGTCTAGTGCTGCACAAAACATGATTAAGTTGTCCCAAGAGGGCGATAGCTCACCAAAAGCAGAGCCGCTACTCGGTCCGAGTGACGTCCGTAGCCACGCCCAGTGCAACTCTGGGATTCGGAGTAGAGGAGGGAGGATGCGGTGGGAGGATAACATCCTCTGACGTTGACCAAATTCTGTTAGGTCATGCCCTGCTCGGTGGGAGGGTCCAGACGAGCGAACATTCTCAGGCTCACCTTCTGCGTTTGAAGAGTTATTTCCCAATCGCGGCAAATAGTCGTTGCGACCAGTGTGACGTACGCAGCATCCCGAAGTAGGACTCCACCGATTCAAAAAGGCACCTGTACTGCGTGTGGACTTTATCTCTCCAAGTCAACTCGTACCGCATGACTGGGGAGTGATATTCCATAGCTCAGCCCCTCTTGAGAATGGCCTTTTCTGATTTGCATAGCGCCAGTGCTACTTTTTGTTAGTAGCTTCTCTATCAGACAACACTATTTTAGTACCAAACCTTCTGGTAAAGTCCCAACGTCGCGTAGCTCAAGCGGAAGCGTTTCGTCATCGGAAGTGAAGAAAAACGTCACCCGCAGTTCATTAGTCAGTGATCGTTATTTCTACAGGTTTCAATTAATATTACGGAGCCTCCATCGAATGACAGACACCCTCTTACCGCAGCAGGGACGGTAACTGGTCACTGTTGCGGGGCAAGTGGGCTCAAATAACATCAGCAAAGCTATGCTCCGCCTCTGATCGTAATGGTGTAATTAACACTAGTTTTCAGTTTCCGGAAGGCACCGCAATCCTCCAACTGGGTGTATAGTTGATAACGTCGCAGTCGGGCAGGGCTCGTCAAGTGGTGGATGGGGGGTTGGGGCGGAACGAGCTTGCCTATGGCTACCTTGCTCTACCAATAGTGATTGGTCAGTAACTGATCTAGGAAAAGAACAACCAATGTTGGAATCGTCGCATGTGGGATCATTCCATCCCTCTTGTAATCGCCCGGCCGATTGCGAGGATATCAGCAGTATATTACACGTCCGCCGCACGCATCCAACTGTAAGTATAGCCCGACCACCGGATCATCTGGGAGCGAGCCTATGTTGCCTTGCACAATTATTGCCACAGTCCTACCACAACCATAGTTCGATATCATAACTCTCACCCACTTTCTAGCTTTGCCAGCTGTCGATTCCTCTTACGGCCTCTTTTAGTATGCCCACCAATGTTCATGGCTCACCTGACACAGCCTTTTCCATTCCCAACGATGCTTCGCATCGCTCACATTCTCGCCCTAACACACAGACGTTATCGCTGAAGTCAGTCGGGGCGTGTCAGCGACCAAGTGGTTTTGGCGTCGCCAGCTTCTCTACCAACACTCGTTGAACGCTCAAAGCTGCAAGGATTGATAGAGTACGGCTGGCGCTCCGCCAAAACCCGTACCCCGCTGACACGCCTCAACCGACTTCTGTGATAGGGCACACCACTGGTTGGGGATTTTAGTCGACTCTATACCACCCCCCCCCCTTTTTTTGGGAGTTGGTACGACCCCCCCATCCCTCTGTCCTTCCTCTGTCTTCCTGCCCCTTTTTTCCAAAATTTCCCGAAAACTTCCCTACTTTTTACCAAAAATTTTGCTGTCGAGCGGGGGGGGCATATAGTACGTGAAACAGGAAAATCACCAAAAGTCAACCGCCACTCCCACAACGCCAAAACGTAAATACGACCCCCCTCCCAAAAATGATCAAATACGACCCCCCTCCCTTTACAACGTCCATGAAGCGAGAAAAATCAACTATCAAAATAAATTTTTCTCAGCCCAAATACGACCCCCTCCTGGCGACCAAATACGACCCCCCTATTGGGGATTCCCCAACAACGATGTGCCCTGTGATAAAAACTTTAGGCACCACGTGACTACGAGATTAGTGAGTTGTTTCAGTGGGGTGGATGAGCCGTAAATTGGAGGGAATAGTGATGAGTGGGTGTGTAGCGTCCCAATCAAATTGGGGCGGTGTCAGGGGCAGAATGAGCCCGCCGCCGAATTCCTTGCGCTACCAGTGTTGATCCGTTGGCGGTCAGCTTGGTAAGAAAATAACCAGAGGTAAAAACGCAGGAGCGGGCCCATTCCACTCCTCCAGAAACCGCGCCGTCTGGTTGCGACGATATCAACTGTACATTACCATAAATTGCCTAGTGATTCCGACCACATTTGCAGACGTCTACGACAGAAGTGAAAGAATATAATGTTGGGTTACCAAGTGAGAACGCAACGCTTCGAATCAGTTCTCTTCCCCACGATAGGCAAAGGTTTGGTTTTTTATTGAGTCTGAACTGTAGTTGTAATGATGAGTGCAAACCTGTTCAGCTATGAACTCAATACCAACAGTGACGTTTGCGTTCTTCAACAAAGCCCCAAAGTGTGTTTGTATACGAGAGCTTCCTCGAATTACGAAATAGTATTGAAAAGATTACTTTTAGAATGTCGTTCTCATAACGTGGAAGAACTGAAGCTCAACTTTAAAAAGAGTATACTTATTCAATAAACGTTTAGGACATCCATCAAAGGTTTTTGTGAGCGGACTGCTTGCTCGTTTCCAAAAAACTTTAGAAGGCGTTTGTCTGGCTCATCCAGGGATAGGGATCGAGTCAAGAGTTACAACGTATTTTGGAATCGTTAGGCTGCGTTTGCAGCAGCGTCCACCAGCACCAACAGCGATCGTGAGCACCTCAAGCAGGGCACATCATTCATTGGGGATTCTTGTCGAGTCCGTACGACCTACCCCCTATTTTGAAGGAGGGGGTGGTACGACCCTCTCCCCCTAGTTCCCTTCTCTAATC